CCTGGGCTACCAAGTGAGTTCCAGGAAAGGCGCAAAGCTACACAGAGAAACCCTGTCTCAAAAAAAAAAAAAAAAAAAGACAAAAAAGGGAAATACATATATTTTTCCATAATGCTATAAAACCAGTTTATAAGCTAGAGAAGCAAACCAACAAGGGCTCTACTCAGCATCAGGCTGGTGCCAAGGGCCATATGCTAACCAAGCAGAATGTCAAGCTTTCACAGAAATAGAGCTATGTATTTCCCAGAAAAAGAATCCTGGTGCATTTATGCTCCTTACAGCTCTCCCAAATGATCATGAAGCGTTTCTGGTATAGGATCAATTCCAATTCCCACTTGACTGATTACCTGTTACCCACACGCTCAGGAAAACCCAGCCAATTGGCAGTCACCTTTATATAGCAATGATAATTGCTGACAATAGCCCAGTCCAAGCCCTACTCAACCATACCTTGCCTACCCCATGATATCTGCTCAGCCTCCTGTTTCCGCAGAGTCCACCTATTATCTATTATCCTCTGATGCCAGCACCCAAGTAATGGGTTTCCATCATTCTTTTCCTACCCCTTACTCCAACACCTCCCAGACTTACAAATACTGTAAAAGCTCTAACTATAAAATGCACTGAGTGTCCAGGGCAGGTCTTACCATTCTGCCATCAAAGCAGGAACAGTAACAGAGGGCCAGTACCAAAACGACAGTTTTGGTTTTTCTGTTTGTTTTTTTTTCCCCGAGACAGGGTTTCACTATGCAGCCCTAGCTGTTCTGGAACTCACTCCGTAGATCAGACTGGCCTTGAAATCACAGAGATTTGCCTGCTTCTGCCTCTCAAGTGCTGGCATTAAAGATGTGTGCCATCACCACCTGGCCCACAGCTCTTAAAATAACATATAAAAACCAAAAGGCCGGGCTGTTGTGGGTAGCCGTTCCAGCTTTGACCTGGAAGTACTACCTCTAGTGATGCTTCCAGTGACTGCCATGCCTACCTATGACTTGCCCCTGGGGCAGGGCTGAGACGGGAGCCCTTAAAACCCGAGATCCGGATGTGCTGGCTCTCTAGGTTCTTTGTGATCTGGATGCTGGATGGTACACCAAGCAGAGTTCTCCAGAGAACACAGCTGGACGGCACTTCACTTCTCCTGGATCCTGTAACCAACTCCTCTATTGGCTGTAAGTTACCCCAAAATAAACCTCCTTTAAATTATGTGGAGTTGCCTTAATAAATCCCCATAATACAGGGCCAGGAGGATCTCTGTGAGTTTGAGGCCTGCCTGGTCTACAGAGATCCAGGACAGGAACCAAAACTACACAGAGAAACCCTGTTTCCAAAAAAACAAAACAAAACAAAAAAACCCCAAAAATCAAACAAAACCCAAACAACAACAACCAAACAATCAAAAGGCCACAGGTGAAGAACACTGCTACTGAGAAAGAAGCAAATGCAGCAGCAGGTCCTGCCAGCCAATCACAAACTGTGCCTCTGCATGTTGTACATGAACACACAGGACTGTGACAGCACACACAGACCGTGACGGCACACACAGACCGTGACGGCACACACAGACCGTGACGGCACACACATACCGTGACGGCACACACAGACAGACCGTGACGGTACACACACACAGACCGTGACGGCACACACACACAGACCGTGACGGCACACACACACAGACCGTGACGGCACACACACACAGACCGTGACGGCACA